AGGCTGTTTCCATGACTCTCGTGACCTACTGGTCACATATATGATAGCAACTTTACCAATTACACCAAGACTCCCCTAGGGACTTCAACTTTGGCTTCATAATAGATTTGGGGTGCTTGGATCCTGATTTGTAGCTAACTCTTCGAAATACAAGTAAAAGAAGACTTGGTACATTACCCTAAAGGGCAAGAATTTAAGGATGTTAAGTAAAAGATTCTGAGTTTGGAAGATGACTCTATCAGTAAGGTAAGATAAAAAGATAGGTAATTTCTACTTCATTTGTCAACTTTTCAAGTTTCAACTCTACGTGGAACCAAGGCTTCTATATTTAGCATGCATGTCATTTTCTACTGGAATATATTTAGATGATTAATCATGGTACTTAGAAAAATAAGATACGGATAATTACATTTTGGTCATTAAGCTGATTGTAAATGATTTTAGTTCTCGTAGTATTCGAGTCTCGAACTAATTGTGTTTTACCTATAATTAGTAAATTGTGTGCTTATGGGGCTTATACTAGATAATTTCCATAAATTTGAGAAATTCTTAAAGTGTTAAAAGTCATGATAAGTGATAACATCCTCTTGATATAAAAGATGAGCAATCATATGATAAATTATTAAAATTTCAATAAGTTTGTAAATGTTTATTAATGGAAGGACCAAAGAGCACAATTCTACTAGTTGAAGGATAAATGTGTAATTTAATCAAATAAAATAAGTACTATAGAAATACAATTTGCATAAAAAATCAATTACACTATCAATGTATGAAAAAATAAACTAGTAGCGAATGATTGACTAACAAAGAGGAAGTGCTGTACGAAATCAAATGTATCCGGTCATAAGTAACAACTAAAAAGTCTTTAGAAAAGGAGATGATAAATGGAAGACCAACTAATTATCCCTGTTTAAACATGAAAACTCTCACCCATTTAGTTTGGCTGTTCGTATCTCTTGATTTACCGATCATAGCAAACTTAAGCTAACTGATATACTAACATATACAATTAACTTCCCCAAAAAGGAGGACCCTCAGCAAATTTTCTTTTATTTCGGGGTTCGAGTGGGAATGTCTATCTAATTATAATTTAAATTTATGGAGATTGGAGAGAAAGTACTTATAATTACTTATTTAGCTCTGCAACACGTCCTTACTATATGGTCCTTTTTTAGGCCAAAAAATCTATAGGTTACAGGTTCGAGCCATGGAACCAACCACTAATACTTGCATTAGGGTAGGTTATGTACAATACACTCATTGGGATGCGACCCTTTCCCAAACTCTACATGAATGCGGGACGCCTTGTGTACCGGGACTACCTTTATGAAGACAATGAACTAAAGAAAGTAACACAATGAGCTACATTCATGCATGTTTTGGAAATGTTCCAAATAAATTGGGAGCTCCACAATGGGTGGTTAATTAGCACTTACTTAGCAGGAAGTGTTTGAGAATAAAAGTTTGAAAGAATGATGACTTTCGGTTGCAAGCAGTAGTCAGTCCATTATCGTTGAAATTGGACTAATTATCATATGCACTTTTATTTGTTGGGCAAACTTCTTTTCTTAGTTGCCTTGCGCAACTAGATTACATGATTCGAGCTATGATTAATACTTTCAACGAAGTCATTCACTTTAAACAAGTTTTACGATTTCAGAAGATCATTCAGAATCAGTCAAATTTTTACTTTCCATAGCTAATCAAATCATATGTTAGAGTAAAGTAACTCAAGAATACTATGAATTCCTTCCTAATTATCAATGTGAGACGACGTATATCTCTAACAATTGTTTCATTTAATGATGATATAAGTTATCGACTTTAAAAGACACTCGAATTTTTAAAAACTTTAATGCATAAATAACAATATTGGAAAGCAACTATAGATCCACACGGAGAAAGTGCTCAAATAAAATCAACAGGAGGCAACCATGACTTTTTTTGGTTACTAATTGTTTACCTCGAAAATACGAGTAATAATTAAATTTGATTTGTGATTTTAAAGATATGTGATTTAGTTCAATACCAATTAATAATCAAAATGTACGAAGTAGAAATGAAAGAAATAGGCGAATCAAACCATTGTTAATTAGCAGTACCGACCTCGAGCTTAGTGACCTCGAGATGAACCAAGAACAATAAAGTAAGAACAGTAGAGAGAGAGAGAGAAAGGACAATGCTGATGAACAATGAGCCAGAAAAGTAAGATAGTATATTCTTTTTCAATGATCAGATCATCCTTACAAATGATTATGGTCCCCTTTATATAATAAGGGAACCCTAAATAAGGTACATTTCTATTTACAGTAAGGAATATTATTGGTACAACTGTCTAACCGCCTAGTACGGAATCGTATAATTCTATTCCCGGATTTACGCCATGATCTTGGGGACGTGGCACGAATCTCGCTCATTCTGTTAAAAATCCATAACGACATTATTTCGAGGGCGAGCGTACTCGGCTTCGGTATTCATCGCACTCCGATCCTCGGGCATTGCATCCTATCTTCGAGCACGAGTCTGATCCATCGGGCTCGAACTTGACCCTGCTTGAACTCGGGCTTAAGATGACCCCTTGAGCCTATAGATCGAAGGCATACGATCTTGACCGTATACAGATAGTCCCCGCATTTCTTAGAGTAGGTCGATAAGAAACGATTTGATCTTCGACGTTCCGACGCCTCGATCCTGATGTCAATCTCGTGATGCCAGCGGCTGAAGTGACTGAAAGGTCGCTTTCGTGCAGTTCCCAAAGCCATTAATTGGAGGCGGCTAATTGTCGGCTATTTGGCTTCCCCAATACGCTTAAGTGACTTCTATAAATAGGTCAACTTCACAATTTTGCAAACTTTACTTCTCAAATCGTTTTCAAAATCTCATTAGCTCCTTCAACTTCTCCGAGTTCACCCTTTTCTTCAATTTTCCCTTACTTCAACATCAACCTTTTCTCATTTCTTGAATTTCTACACCATAATGGCTAAAACATCTAAATCTGTTCCTAAAAAATAAAAAGCCTCTTCATCATCGCGGCCGTCCAGAAGTAGAACGGTGGTGCCACCTCGTATCGAGAAGTGTATTCCCCCGCCGTGTGAAACATCCGATTTCAAAATTGAAAAGCCTGTATCGACACCAGGCCGATGTGAGCCCATGTCCCGATACATTTGTTTGATAACCGAAGATGAGCTTGAGCAGGTGAAAAAGGACTACAACTGGGAGAACAAAGATGTAGTGATTCCTTCACCTGAAGAGGACATCACTACTCATAAAGCGGGGTACTTAAGCCTGTAAACGTACCCATTCATGCTGGGTTCCGCAGATCCAGCTCTAGGTCCCATAGATCCAGTTATTCTTGATTTTTGCCAACAATACCAAGTGACGCTCGGCCAGATCTACCCTTCATTCTGGCGAATCGTCAATCTGATTAGATACTTCTCGAGCCAGGTCGAGGGGATGCCTTTTACCCTCGACCATCTGATCAGGTTGTACAACCCTCGCCTTTATCCAGGTGGCCTGATAAAGCTGCAACGCCGATCCTTGAAAACTCTCTTCTCCAGCATCAATGAGGATAAAGACCGAGGATGGATGAGCCGGTTTGTCCGATTCAAGACCTCTGACCTAATTCCTGCCGAGAGGATGCCGTTCCCCGAGGAATGGAACATGAAATGTAAGTACATGCTTATCGATAGCAACTTTATACCCTGCTTCCCCTTCTTTTTCTCGACTTTATCTTTTTCTCGATCTAACCTCTTTCCGATGGTGTAGCTGTTACTTGGTTTTCTGGTGCGGTCCCATACCTCAAAGGTTGGGTTCAAAAACTAGCCTCTACTTCCTCATACGCGTGGCGCTACTGGCGTGACCTGGCCAAAGGTCGATGGGATGCTAAAAACCACGGTGAGTTCTCTTGTTTGTTTACTTGTGGTTCTCAGTGAAATACTTACTTTGTCTTTATGCAAGCCTCGGAGACACCATTGCTATGCGGCTGCCCCCGTCTGGTGAAGAAGAGATCCCAAAGCCTTCCAAAGAAAAGAAAAGAAAGAGGGGGTCACTTGTAAATCCCCCCAAGCCAAAGAAAATCACGGCTCGAAAGCCTAAGGCCGATACTGTGGCCCAATCTTCAGAAATGGCCCAACGCCTTCGGGACGAGGATGAAGAAGGGGAAGATGACGAATGCCTATTGGTAGTCGGAAAAGAGGAGGCGCTGACGCTTCAATGTCTGCCAAAGCGATGGTGGCTGATGCGGTTCATTCTAGGACCGAAGAAATCTCCGAGGGGAGTTCGAGCAAAGTCCCTGATCCATCGGGCAGCAAAAGAGCACCTCATCTTGGAGGTCATTTGGAGGGTGAGACCGAGGGGCCCGGTCCCGAGGCCCTTCAAAGAGAAGAGAATGCCCCGAGTGGATCACTTGGGATAATTAACGTGGATGAGTCGCCGCCTGATCCTGAGTTCTCCGAGGGGCACTTCCGAGATGCTCGGAACATGAGAACTCCTGATGTGGGGACGAGCCACGAAGGGCACGATATCTTTCGAGAGTGCCTTGACGGGATCGAAGATGGTCCCGACCCAGACGTTTCTTTTATTTTTGATGAGGCCCATCGGCTCTTCAAACAAGTAAGTTTCTGTCCTTTAAGATTATGCCTGCACTTTATCCTTGTTGTTCTGAGTCTAAATTTCCCTTTTTTGTGAAGGCTGTGATGCTCCATCGAGAAGCATTCTCCAAGTCTCGAGCCGAGCTTGCTCGATGTGAGGCCGATCTTATGAAACTCTCGAAAGAGAGGGGCGGCCTTAAAATCCTCTATGTCAAGAAAGAGGAGGAGATTAGCGATCTTCGAGCCAAACTGGCGGAGGCTCGTCAAGAACAGACCGAGCTTATCGGAAAGGTAATATACCCTTTGATGTTTTGTTATGCATTTTCCTGATTGGTTGGCTAATATTTCAACTTTGCAGGCTCAAGAAAATAAGGGCGAGCTGGTGGAGAAGCTCCGAGAGGAGTTAAGATGAAGGAGGCCAAGACCCTAGGGTGGAGGCAAAGCATGGAACGTCTCGCCTCGGAGAAAGATACTCTTCGGGAGCAGCTGGCTTCAATCGAACGCCAGCTTCAAAGTGTGAAGGAGGAGAGCCTGGCTCGAAGCCGCAAAATTGAGGAGCTCGAAGCTAAATCTGCTGCTGAGCTTGCAAAGGCCAAAACTGATGCAGAGGCATTTGTGTCTGCGTATCGAGCTGATACTGAAGCCGCTAACACCCGGGCAAAGGAGATCTCCGCTGCGGCCGAAGTTAAGCTATCATGTGCACTCAACCACGCTAGGCGACAGTCCCGGAGGGAAACCCTGGAAGAGGTGCACGCTCGTGGCTTCGACCTCTCAGCCGACATTGAAAAAGCAAAGACTTTGGAAGAAGAGGCTGCCGTTTTGCTTTCCGATGATGATGATTCACCTAGTGGTTCCGAGAGTGGAGGAGACAAAGATGAAGTCCCTGAGGAGGAGGTTCCCGAAGACGAGGCTCCCGAAGATGCAACCCCGGAGTAGATTTAGGTTTCTTTATTTTATTTTTGTGTTTTTTTGCAAGGACCCCTCGTGGCTATTGTAAATATCTTTTGTAAACATCTCTTGTAAATACAAAAGGACCTCTTTGCTTCAACTTCGATTTGTGTTGAATTTCATTTCTTCTTCATTTGTGGAAAATTCGATTGCATAACTCAAATGATCAGTCCGAATATTGGTTGGACTCAGAACATAATAAACCTTTAGTTTTTTATTGACAAATATAATACCTTTTAAGGTTTTTGTTAATCCTCGAGCTAAGCTTAAATTGATTTGATGCGAGCTCGGGATGTCGGGACTCTTGAGTCCGAGTTGAGTGAGAGCAAGGTCTCGAACTCTATATATTTTGGCCCTTAGTCTCTTTTAGGTCGGCACTTAGGCTCTTTATGTTGGGCCAATTCGGCCTCTAAAGCGGCTATAATTTTCCCCTCTTTTTTTGGCTAAAAGACTTAGTGAAAATCTATCTATGCCTTAGCATGTGTTAATTTGTACCCATTGGGTTTTTCGAAGGTTCAACGGATCGGAACCTTATTTGTATTTGTTTTTGTAGACATAATCGAATACCTCTTGAGGTTTTTCTCGAAGGCTGATGTTATCGAATCCTTAAAATTATTCGGGGCTGATTTTATCGAAGCCCCTTTATTATTTGCTTTTCCCGAGGGTAGCTTGATTTAATCGGTTTTTTCAAAGTGTTTGAAGGCCTTTAATTTTATGGCGGAAGTCGGACGTCTCTGAGCCGCGTTATTTCGGCCGTAGCCTTTTTTTATGACCGTAGTCTTTAATATGGCCGTAGCCTTTAATATGGCCGTAGCCTTCGGTTATGTCTCTTGGACTTGTTTCCCGATAACCTTTTGAACTTGTTCGGAAGGTTAGTCCCCGAGTATGTTTGCCTTGGACTTTATATCGAGGGGATGCCTCTTTGAGGTCTTATGAGTCCGAGTTTTTGATGACTCGGGTGCGTTGACTGTCGATGACAGTCCCCGAGTTTTCGGGGGTGCATTTGCATTCTGGCTCTTGAGCCGTTTCCCGTAGGATTATATGTATGAAGCTTGTATAGTAGTAGATTTTCTTTGAGACACAAAGTGCTTTGATATATAGTAGGAATGTTTCTTTGAATAATTACTACATGCGTACATGTTTTGCCATCGGGGCTCGATTATTCTATATGGACACGGTTCATCTGACCGTTTGGCCCATTACAAAGTTTTCCTATCGAGGCCCTCTTAGGCGTGAAGTATTTTCCTAAAAAATATGACCTCCGAGGGTGATGCCCCCCAATATTCGAGGTTGATTGAAAAGAAGCCTTGGATACTGTTGAGTTCTCCTTAGGTAGCACATAGTTGTTGCCTCGTTAAAAACCTTGCCGGTAAAACCCATTTGGGACAAAATCCGATCTAAGGGAAAAAGAGTGCAATGCATGCTTTAAAACCTAAGGTCTTCGTGTAAAAAGGTGCCTTCGATAGCTTCGATCAAAAACCTGCAATGAGTTAGTTTCAAATTCAAATGGACAAGAAAGATACATTCATACCTTAGCAATAGCATTGTTTGAGTAATGATACGTTCCAATTGTTCGGCAGTTGTTCACCTTCCATTGTGCTAAGCTTGTAAGATCCTTTACCAACAACTCCGAGGACTCGGTACGGTCCTTCCCAATTCGGCCCTAGTTTCCCTTCATTCGGGTCTCGAGTATTGAGGGTGACTTTTCGTAAAACTAAGTCCCCGATTCCAAAGTGTCGAAGATTGGTCCTTCTATTGTAGTATCTCTCGATTCTTTGCTTCTGCGCGGCCATCCGAACGAGTGCTGCTTCTCGTTTTTCATCTAATAGCTTGAGGCTATTATTAATAGCCTCGTGATTTGACTCCTACGATGCATGTCAAAATCCGACGCTGGGTTCTCCAACCTCGACAGGGATAAGGGCCTCAGAGCCATATACTAAAGAGAACGGGGTATCCCCCGTGCTAGACTTCAACGTTGTTCTATATGCCCAAAGGACCTCAGGTAGAACTTCTCTCTATTTTCCCTTTCCATCGTCTAACCTTTTCTTCAGATTTTGAATGATAGTTTTGTTCGTGACTCGGCCTGTCCATTTCCAGTTGGGTGGTATGGTGTTGATAAGATCCTCTTTATTTTATGTGCTTCGAGGAACTCTGTCACCTTGCTACCGACGAATTGCTTTCCATTCTCACATACAATCTCGGCAGGCATCCCGAACCAACATATGATGTGGTCCCAGATGAAGTCAATAACTTCTTTTTCCCTGACCTTCTCAAAGGCCTGTGCTTCCACCCATTTAGAAAAATAATCAGTCATAAACAAAATAAACTTAGCTTTACCTGGGGCCGTTGGTAGAAGGCCGACTATGTCCATCCCCCATTTCATGAAAGGTCACGGGGATAGGACTGAGTGGAGTTGTTCTCCGGGCTGATGGATCATCGGTGCAAACCGTTGGCATTTGTCACATTTTTTGATAAATTCCTTAGTATCTTTTTCCATGGTGTCCCAGTAATATCCTGCTCTAATGATTTTGCAAACCAAAGACTCGGTGCGCGAGTGATTCCGACAAGTACCTTCGTGGATTTCTCGTAGAACATAGTCGGTGTCCCTGGCCCTAAACAAACCGCTAATGGTCCATCGAACGTCCTCCTGTACAATGTTCCATCTCCATATAATGCGAACCTAGGAGCCTTGGCTTGCAGGGCCCTCGATTCTTTGTAGTCCGGCGGGAGTTTGCCATTCTCCAAATAATCGATATACTTATTCCTCCAGTCCCAAGTCAAACTTGTTGAATTTATCTCGGCATGCCCCCCTTCAACTACAGACCTCGATAATTGAACGACAGTCCCCGGGACGATATCATCTTCATCGACCGAAGATCCCAAATTAGCAAGTGCGTCGACCTCACTATTTTGCTCTCGAGGCACATGATCTAGAGTCCATTCCTTGAAGCGATGCAATGTTACTTGTAACTTATCCAAGTATCGTTGCATCCTATCCTTTCGAACTTCAAAACTTTTGTTTACTTGGTTCACCACCAACAGTGAGTCGCACTTGGCTTCGATGACTTCTTCCCCCAAGCTTTTAGCTAGCTCGAGACCTGCAATCATGGCCTCATACTCGGCCTCGTTATTAGTTAACCAAGAAGTTTTGATAGATTGTCTAATGGTACTACCTGTAGGTGGCTTTAAGACAATGCCAAGCCCGAATCCTTTCACATTCGAGGCACCGTCCGTGAAAAGGGTCCATATACCCGATGATGTACCCGAACTTAGCAGGAGTTCTTTCTCCACTTCGGGAGGGTCGGCGTAAAATCGGCCACGAAGTCAGCTAGGATTTGAGACTTGATGGCCGTTTGGGGTTGATATTCGATTTCGTACCCGCTAAGTTTGACGACCCATTTGGCCAGCCGGCTCGATAGCTCGGGCTTATGCAAAACATTCCGAAGGGGGTAAGTGGTTAATACACATATGGGATGACATTGAAATTATGGCTTTAGCTTTCTAGATGCGCTTATCAATGCAAGTGCTAATTTTTCTAAGTGAGGGTATCTAGTTTCAGCATCTCCTAGAGTTCGACTTACATAATAAACAGGGAATTGCGTACCTTGCTCTTCTCGAACTAGTACCCCACTTACCGCTATCTCGGACACTTCCAAATATAGGTAAAGTTTTTCATCTACCTTCGGGGTGTGAAGCAAAGGCGGGCTTGATATGGAAAAGAACCAGTGACTTCCAAAGGCTTGTTGGCATTCCGGGGTCCATGCGAAATCCTTTTTCTTTTTTAGCAAGGAGAAGAACCGGTGACTTCGATCTGATGACCTCAAAATGAATTGACCCAAAGCAGCTATTCGCCCTGTCAGCCTTTCCACGACCTTCACACTATCTACAACCGTGATATCCTCGATGGCCTTGATCTTATCGGGGTTAATTTCCATGCCCCGATTCGACACCATGAAGCCGAGGAACTTACCCGAATCGACTCCGAAGTCGCACTTTTCCGGGTTAAGCTTCATGTTGTACTTTCTCAAGATTTCAAATGTCTCATGCAAATGAGTTAAATGGTCCTCTGTGCAGGGACTTAACCAACATATCATCAATGTAAACTTCCATTGTTTTACCTATTTGTTCTTCGAACATTTTGTTAACTAGGCGTTGGTATGTAGCTCCTGCATTTTTTAGCTCGAAGAGCATTACGTTGTAACAATAAGTTCCAATTTAGTAATAAATGAAGTCTTTTCCTGGTCCTTCGGGTTCATCTGAATTTGATTGTACTCGCAGTAGGCGTCGAGAAAAGTTAATATTTCGTGGCCGGCCGTGGAATCGATCATACGATCGATGTTGGGCAATGGAAAAGAATCATTTGGGCATGCTTTGTTCAAATCCTTGTAATCTATGCACGTTCTAAGTTTATTTCCCTTTTTAGGAACTACAACTACGTTGGCTAACCATTCAGGGTATTTTACCTCCCGAATAGACCCTATTTTAAGAAGTTTGGTTACCTCGTCCTTTATGAATGCATGCTTCACCTCGGACTGAGGCCTCCTTTTTTTGCTTCACCGGTTTGAACCTGGGGTCGAGGCTGAGCCGGTGCGTAGTTATTTCCGGTGGGATCCCTGTCATATCTAAATGGGACCAAGCAAAGCAATCCATATTATCAATAAGAAATTGAATGAGTTTTTTCCTGAGTTCGGGGGTTAATCCCGTTCCCAGGTATACCTTTCTCTCGGGCAAGTATTCGATTAGTATGACCTGCTCCAGTTCCTCGATCGTTGACTTGGTTGCATCGGACTCTTCGGGAACGACGAAATTTCGAGGAGTAAGGAAATCCTCTTCCTCGTCTTCGATTACCTATTTTTCCGATTCTGTCGAGGCTGGAGGCGGTAATTACTATTTAGCCGCTTGCTTATCTTTTGTGTTTGACTTTTTTGAGGTCTAAGGCTCTGGTATCGACGTCACTTCATCGACTGCAAACATCTCCTTTGCAGCAT